GTCTTTGGCGGGGAAGCGTTGTCTTCTAAAAGACGAGATAACTCGTCAATGGCGGGGAAAGAGTTAATATGCTGATTTGCTCTCAAGAAACATTTCTGATTATTATCAATGTTTAAAACAGTTGTGCTGCTTCATATTTTTGTGGAAAACATGATTGATTCTATTTTTCAGGATTCACAGATAAATAGAACGTTCAAAAGACCAGCATTTATTAGAAATAGAAATCTTTTGTTCATCTATTTTGACAAATTATATTTTTCTCCCATTTGAAAATGAATCCTGCATTTATGTGAGGGATGAGGGATTTATATGTCACTCCCGAAACTTTGCTGCTTGTACAGGGTATATGGCCCCTAGCACGAAAAACATCTTTTATTCAAATTCTGAATGGATTATATTTAGCCTAAAAAAAATGTCGCGATCTCACAAAGTTCCTTTATAATCATTGACTTATTTACATCGTGTTACAGTGAGAGGATTCGCGAGCGTGCAGAACAAAATCCGGCGTTTATTTGAACGGAATGGCCAATCAGAGGTGTTCAAGAATCAACAGATCTGTCTGTGATTGGCTACATTGCTCAACTATACAAAAACACATTGTAAATGGAAACTTTTCACGTTCTCCAGAGCGCAAACACAAATACGCACTGGAGCGTTTCCAAATCTGTTTCACCAATGTCCTATTACATTTTTAACTTTCAGTGAACTGAAAGAAAATGGAGAAAATGGAAATGTGGCGTGAGAGCATGAGAAAAGTGTAAATTGCATGAGTCTCGTGCTGAACGTGTGAGAGTTGGCAGCCCTGATAAATGTCTTTACCGGAACATTTGATCAATTTAATGCAGCCTTGATGAATAAAAGTATCAAGTTCTTTAAAAAAAAATACTGCCCCTAAACTTTTGAAGGGTAGTGTAGATTGTAGATTATGATTTTGTTTGTCACTTGATCTCTAGGATTGTTTTTCTCAGTTTATTTATTTCTTTAATCTACTTCAAACAAATCTTATGTTAAATATTTGTGTATGTAAATAGTTTGACAGTCTTTATGACTGTGTTTGTCCAGCAAGTCTGGTAGTGATTCACACGAACGTGTCCTCGTCCTACTTTAGATTTCATTCTTCTGCTTGATGACCATGTTGAATGAAACCACTGACACATTAATAATTATCTGTATTATTAATGTGTCAATGTTTTCATCCAACATGGTCATTACATACATCAATGCTTTATGTTTCCATTATCATTCAGACAATGCTTTTGATTATTAGCAGCAATATCAAGGTGAATTAAATTGAAAATGCAAATTCGAATGTGATTCAACAAAACCCGGTTGTTTCACTTTTTTTTCCACAGGGTTTTTATTGATTGGGAAAATAGCACGTGGACAAGAAGGTAAGAATCCTTCAGTGTTTTAACACTTTTGTTCTGTTTTGTCTGTTAAACGGTCAGATATAAAAGTACTTGGAAATTTAGTGCTGTAATGAAGCTCTGATGCAGTTCGATGACCAGTTTTATAGTATTTTTATTGTTAGTTAAAGTTCCCTGATACTGGATAGACTAAAGTCAGAAAATTAACTTCGTATTAACAGGCAATATTTCCCTCTAAAATCGATCTTTCAGGAACAGCCTTTACAAATTTTTAATGTCAGATTATACTGCTCTTTGTATAATATAACATACCAAACCATCATGATATATAGGCCAATATTAGAATTATACTAAGTAACAAATGTTTGTTATTCAAAATAATAAAAAAGATGCTCACTATCATTTTTACCTTTGAGTTTTAAATATCTGTAACTGTTTTGCTCCCTTAACCCTTCACTTCTGACCCTGTGGTGGACATGTTGCTGATGATGAGTAATAAATAGTTTGGTAAAAGTCTTCTGCAGTAGTAGATGACTTCTTATTGACCTTTATCCATGAAATTGTTCCAGAGAATGTGGCACTATGGGGCAAAACTAGTCAGTCATCAACTTACGCGGGCTCTGGACCTGAATTGGCTCTTGATGGATTGTTGAACAGCTGGACCCACACTAATGAACAGAACAACCCGTGGTGGAGAGTTGATCTACTGAAAGTATACAGAGTTAACAGAGTCACCATCACTAATAGAGAGAGCAGTTATTTGAGGATTAATGGGGCTGTGATTCGTATCGGGAACTTTCTTGACATTTACAGCAACACCATGTGAGAATTTCTTTCCTTTGATTTGATTTCTGTGGCTGAAGTGAAGAATGAACAGAAATGGATAACATTATCTTTCTGTCTGTAGATGTGGTATGATTTCTACTCTTGGAGCCGGTGCCACGGCCACTTTCTCATGCAGTGGGATGGTGGGACGTTATATGGTTGTTCATATTCCTGGAAATCTGAAGACTCTTAGTCTTGTTGAAGCTGGAGTCTACGGGACTTTGGCAGGTAATTTGTTGTTGTAGAGCACTTTATTAAATGCAATAAATACTTTTTTAGAAACTTACTTGAAATGCATAGTTCACCAAAAATCACACTCATGTCCTTCCAAACCAGTATGACAGTATTCATGCTTTATTGGCATCTTATGTACAGATGATTCTGATAAACGTGGGGCTTGAGCACATAATTCTGTTGATTCATCATGTTAAACGCATTCATCAGACAAATTTATCAGACAAAATCAACAGTCAACTTTCTTTTTATTCCAAATGGTTGTTATTGAATATATTGGTAATATTTCCACCAGGTTGTTGGTACTAATGATGTAATGAGTTACTAGGGACGTCTAATTATTTTGTATATAGTTGTGAAGAACGTTGTGTCACGGCAAACTCACAAACAAGATGATCCAGTTGCAGCATTTAATGAAAAATACAAAAACAAACAGTAAATCCAAAAACAGAAACAAGAAACACGTAACAGTAAAACAATCAACCTGCAACTAAGGACACAGAAAACCGAGCTTATATGAGGATGAGTTGACAAGATAATGAGACACAGCTGAATGTAATGAGACTAGAATGTCAAAGCAAAGGGTGATGGGAACTGAAGTCCAGAGAAACATGTAGCGACATGTAGTAGAACCCATGTAGAGGCCCAGAAACAGAGTTAGGCTAGATGGCCAAGGCGGAGCCGGCAAGGCAGGAGGCCGGGGGGGGGGCCGGAGGGACAGACCAGCGAGGCTCTGGCCGAACAACGACCCCGGCGGACGACCAGGGCAGAACCAGGAGCTTGGCAGATCGTAAAGGCGGAACTGATGACCACCTCACCTTGGATTCTGAGGGTTCCTGGACTGGAGTGTATTCTAGAGTGGACTCTGGAGACTCCTGGACTGGAGTAAGTTCATGAGTGGACTCTGAAGACTCACAGACTGGAGCGGGCTCTGGAGTGGACTCTGAAAACTCCCGGACTGGAGTGAGTTCATGAGTGAATTCTGAAAACTCACGGACTGAAGAAGACTCTGGAGTGGACTCTGAGAGCTCCCGGACTGGAGCAGACTCTGGAGTGGACTCTGAGGGCTCACGGACTGAAGCAGACTCTGGAGTGGACTCTGAGGGCTCACGAACTGGAGCAGGCTCTGGAGTGAATTCTGAGAGCTCCTGGACTGAAGTGAATTCTAGAGTGGACTCGGAAGACTCACAGACTGGAGTGGGCTCTGGAGTGGACTCTGAGGGCTCACGGACTGGAGCAGACTCTGGAGTGGACTCTGAAGACTCCCGGACTGGAGCAGGCTCTGGGGCAGGCTCCTGGGCCAACAAAGCAGGAAGCTTACGTGGGACCAGCAAAACAGAGTTTAGGTGGGGCCGGCAGGGCAAAGAGCTTGGTAGGAGCTGGCAAGGCAAGGAGCTTGGGTGGAGCCGGCAGGTCAAGGAGCATAGGTGGAGCTGGCAGGGCAAGGATCCTGGGAGGAGCTGGCAGGGCAAGGATCATGGGAGAGACAAAAAGAGTGGACTGCTCAGTAACTTCTGGAACCACCAGGGTCGGGTCCTCCAGGACCACCGGAGTCAGGTCCTCCAGGACCACCGGACTCGAGACCACCAGAGTCAGGTCCTCCAGGACCACCAGACTCTGGACCACCGGAGTCGGGTCCTCCAGGACCACCTGACTTGAGGTCACTAAGTCGACTTCGCTGCCCTCCTCCGCTTAAGCGTGGGAATAGATGACTGGTTCTGGGCTTGATTAGACGAGTGAGGTATGGGTGGGACGGTCCCTGCAGATGGTGATTAATCTTACCCTCCTTCCGGACCTGCAAATATCTGGAGAAGTTCCAGAAATCCAGACACTTCACCAGTTCCATCTCCCACTGCAATAGAGGTTCATCCAGACAACGATTAAAAATGTCCTTAATGTCCATACCTTGAACGCCCAGCCTCTCCGCCCCAGTCCAGAATCTCTGGACAAAGGCCAGTAACTCCATTCCCCTCTGGCGCAATTTCTCCAACCCTTGAAGCCCGGCTTGCTTCTCCAGGAATAGAGTCCTCTCCCTAATGCTGCTGGATCTGTACATGGCTGGTTGATTCTGTCACGGCAAACTCAAAAACAAGATGATCCAGTTGCAGCATTTAATGAAAAATACAAAAACAGAGTAAATCCAAAGATAGGCAAAAACAGAATCAAGAAACACGTAACAGTAAAACAATCAACCAGCAACTAAGGACACAGAAAACCAAGCTTATATGAGGATGAGTTAACAAGATAATGAGACGTAGCTGAATGTAATGAGACTAGAATGTCAAAGCAAAGGGTGAACTGAAGTCCAGAGAAACAAAACAAAAATACAAAGTGTGCCCTCTATTGACTATAAGGGGCACACCAACTAGACCCTGTGACACGTTGTTATATATAAAAAGTCATTGTGTTTGTAATTCCATTTGGTAACAGTAGGCTAGTTGGTGCACAAATTACATGCTTCACCATCATCTCCTCCACTGTTGCCCTCAAATCTTATTCGAATTGTGCATAAACATGGGTCACAACCAGTTTTTATTAATTTTGCAGGAAATCGGGCAGTAGGAGGAGCCACTATACAGTCGTCAACATCTGCAGATTGGTTTGCTGAAAAGGCCATTGATGGTAATCGAGGTCTTCAACAGTTGCATACAGGATGCTCCTCAACCCTTAATGAGACTAACCCGTGGTGGAGGCTGGATCTGCGTGATGTCTACCGAGTTAGTGAAGTGGTCATCACTAACAGAAAAGACTGCTGTGCTGAACAGATAAACGGAGCAGAGATTCACATCGGAAACTCTTTGGAGAACAACGGTACCAACAATCCCATGTGAGAAACTTGAGGTTGAAAGAACACGAGACGTCAAACACAAATATGAAGGATTGAAACAGATATGACAGTATTTTTATATCCCTCATGTTTCTCTGTCTGTAGATGTGCTGTTATTCCTGATATTCCAGCAGGTGAGTCCAACAACTACTTATGTGATGGATTGGAGGGACGTTACATGATTATTCATATTCCTGGAGACTGGAAGATTCTTACTCTTTGTGAGGTTGAAGTCTACGGGTATTTGGCAGGTAATTCATTGTTGTAGAGCATTATATTCAATATTCTACATTAACATATAATTCATGTAATATCATGCTATAAAGGAACACAAAATCATAATTTTCACAATTCGATTTGGTGAGGGTAGTTGATGCAGTAATAACTCACTTCACCTCCAGTCGTTGTTCCTCAATAATCTTCCCCTCTGCTGCAAACTTTGTGCATCAAGACAAGTCGTACAAATTTACAATATTCTCACATTTTAAAGAGACATGATTTTACAAAAGTACAGTTTGGGACATGACACAAGAAAAGATAAGAGGAAGATCTGAATGTCTTGTCATATTCTGATCTAAACAGTTTAGTATGAATGTTATTTCCAGTTGGGATCTGCTCTGGCTGATAGAGGATTGACAGACATGACATTGAGTTGGTCTCAAACTCCTAAAGAGAAAGTGATGCGGAAAGTGAACGCTGGCAAACGTGAGTGTGTTCTCACAACTGTACAATAACTTATGACATATGCTGGACAAATAGGTTCTAAATTTATGATAAATTTATAAAATTTTGATATGTAATAGCAAAAATGTTTCATTTGCAGGTCGCTGTGATACAAGAAAATGATGCCCTGGAAATCAACAGTCTGACTCACTAAATTCACATTGATTAAATTTCTTCATAATTTAATACATTTCTTCATAAAATCAGGCAATTCTAAGTAAAAAGTCACATGTGAGATAATAAGTCGTAATTACCTTGTTTTATTTTTTATTCAGTGGTGAAAACGGGCTTCCATAATAATTACTTGTTTACAATGTAAAAACCTTAAAACTCTTGTGCTTCATTGTTACTCTTGATTCAAATCTTTAAGAAGTTTTAATCATCTTGTATAATTCTGTAATGTCAACAAAGCATTAGAAAATATAAAGGCTATAGATAATAATAAATATAATTAAAATGAATTAATGTCAAATTCATACAACCCACAAGCATAATAAAACTTAATGTGATATTTTTTTATGTTTATTGGCATCAATATTTTATTTAATGGTTATTTTATTATTAATAATTACCAATTTATTATAATGTATGTATATTATAAGTTTTGAATGAAATTCCCTGTATTTTCATACTTTATATTGGTAATGGTGTTCTGGAGCTGTAATGAGGAGAACAGGTTATCATGAATGGATGGAGGTATGGCGAACTCTGATGGCGTCATAAAATCGTACTTCCTCAACGTGATGACAATGTGTGGTGCGTCCAGAGATGAATCACATATAGCTGTGATCATAACTCAGCAAATTAGACAGAATGAAGGACTTTTCAAGTACTTATCACAGAACTTCCAGTACTTAACGCATTCTTTTCCAGCACTTTAAAGCTCAAAAGTCTGAATAGTATACAATTTAATAACTCATTTACCACCCTGCTCCTGTTCCCCAACTTTTGCTACATGACCACTTTCTTGACATAATTGATGTTCATCATCTGATTGCATGACCTCTTGTTATTAATTATGGGGCAGCTTATTCCATAGCTTAGGGCCTATAATGCAGAAAGCCCTACCACCCACCGTAGAGAGTTTATACTTGAGTTTATACTAGGTATTGAGGTGCGAGGCTGTGACAGGCCTTATACGCTAAAACTAAGAGTTTAAACTGAATACGTTTGGCCAGTGAAGTTGGTGAAGGATGGGAGTGATACAATACACAATGCTCCCAAATTTCACATAGTTGTTGTAGGATTTCTATCCATAACAGACACTGATATGCCCATGTGTGTGTGTGTATGTGTTTTAGCTTAGTTTTAATGTAATCTAGAATAGCCAATAAAATTCACGTTTTCATTTATAAAGAATCATTGTCTGGTGTCATATAACTTTCAAGTCAAACATTGCCAAGATCACATTACCTAGCTCTTAGCTTACTTATCAAAGAACGTATTACCCGTGGCCAGGGAAATACAAAGATTCAAGTTGTTAAAATATACTGAGATCACCGGCTCGCTGGACGACCGTTGATTTAAAGTGTAAACTATCAAATTTGAATTCAGTTTTAATCAGGTGGACCTCGAATTTTCAGATTCGAGTCCTTTCAAACCCTGAATGAATTAATAATAATTAATTCCCTAAAATTAAGTAATCAAAGACATTACATTGTTGAGGGCCTAATCTGGACACCATCAATATCAATGAAAATATCATGCTGGGGGGAGCTCTGTAGCCGGGTTTCCATCCAAAATTGCGAATTTAACTTATGTGCAAAATTGAAATATCGCATAAAACCTTTGCGAATAAGCACCGTTTCCATCCAACGAGTCAAAGAGTACTAAATCGTCACTTCCTGGTAGAACTGGCGCTAGGCTATAGCCTATATCACTATGAAAAGTAGGAGAAACCCCTGAATATAATAATTTTCATAGGCCTATATAATAAATTACTTGCGCATCAGAGCGAGCAGACGAAACAAAATAAATGCGGTCATTGCTTTCGAAGGTGGATGCTGCTGTTTGGGAACACAATCGTGTAACAGTTCTGGGAGGCAATTATACAGAAATACGTTGATGACCGATTTTGCTCGGACATTTCAAAATTACCATAACATTTCAGATGCTGAGGAACGACATTGGACCACTGGTCCACTCCCATAGCGCAGTCACATGACTTTTTTGATGCGCATGGAGGAATTTACTCGGCAAATGCGTTTCCATCTCCTTTTATTCACATTAACCCTTTTTCGCACAAGTCAAAAACCCACCTCAAGTGAGCGGAAAAACTTTTTTGCGAATTAAGGGATTTTTATTCGAAATGTGCCGTTTCCATCACTCGTTTCTGATGCGATACTTCAAAATGCGTATAAAAACAGGATGATGGAAACATAGCTTGGGATTTAGGGCCAACCAGCAGGATTTCAGTTTTGTCTGCATTTAGTTGTAAAAAGTTATCTGACTTCCATGTTTTAAGTTCTTGAAGACAGGAAACAATAGAAAGGGGTGGACAAACTGAGTTAGGTTGAACCGTAAAATAAATTTGAATATCATCGGCATAACTGAAAATTGAGACCATCACGTCTGATGATCTGACCCAGTGGCAGCACATAAATGAGAAATAAAAGTGGACCAAGTACAGAACCTTGGGGTACACCACGGGAAATAGTGACAGAGCGAGATCTATTCTTATCTATCTTTCCTTGATTATGCAGTATGTACACTAGTTGCCACTAGTTGTCATATATTATATCCTGTCTACAGTAAGAATGACCATATTTCAGGCTTTTTAGAGCTGCTAAAGAGTCAGAGCATATGACTACCTTGTCTAGCCTCGTTTCTTCCACCCACTGTAGAGCTAGATATATTGCCGCAAGCTCAGCTGTAAACACCATTAAATGATCTGATCTGATCTGATCTACCTGATATTTTGGAACATATACTGCTGTTCCTGCTTTTCCAGATTCTGGGTCCTTTGATCCATCTGTAAAAATATCTAAAATATTACTATATTTTTGTTTTATATATTGATTTACTAAATGTTTAACTGTCTTATCCTTATTTTCTTTAATTATTTCTTGTACGTGTGTATATATACATGGCATAGGAAACAACCATGGAGGCACAATCTGAGTGTATTTCCACTGATCTATACACATTATTTGGGTCATTCTATTTCCTGTCCAGCCTATGCTTTTGATGTTGCCTTGGGTATGTTCCCAGCTCTCATGAAACACAGACTTAGTTGGGTGTATATCCCCATGTTCTTTTAATGAGACCCAATAATTCATTACTATTTTTTGCCTTCTCACTTCTAGAGGCTTAGTGACTTTTCAAAAAGGTGGCGCCATTTACCTTCCTGTGTGCTTAGTGATGGGAATTCAGACTCTTTACAAAATACCATAATTTTACTTTTTTTTTTTTGGTATAAAAACCTAATGTATGTAAAAACATTAAACACAAGTTAGTGACTTATCCAAAACACAAACTATTATTAACATACTCAAAATGGATCATTGTGTGCCATATAACAAATAAAAACTAAATTACAGTGTGCAGAACAGAAGCATCCAATACAATTGTATTGTTGCAGCTATTAACCCTGAAACATATTCACATTGTGCACATGTGTTGAATCTGGGCTGCATTCCAGTTAATTTTTTTATGCCCTGGCCTTGCTAACTTCCCTCCGTCTCGTTGACTCGGATGTCATTGATTACATTGCACGAGTACCCACTACTGGCGGACTGCTTGCATTAATGTACTAATGCTGCACTACCGACTAGATTGGACGTGGGAATATCCCAAATTAAATGTCCCACTTCAGACCTCAGTGAGTTCCAGTCAATCAGACGTCACATTCACATGTTGACCATCGTGTTTTTGTGTCAATTATGCCAAAACAGATTAAAAATATCTAAATCTATTTGAAAACAGCAGACAAAAGGCAAAAGCATAAACGTAATGTCTAATGTTTCATTCATGATCTCCTGTTTGTGTTTGTGACTGGATTGTTTGGTTTTGATGGCTGTGTGAAAATCTTTAGTGAATATTGAGTTTTCTCTTTGCTTCTTTACAGTTGGACAACGAGGTATTTGTTTAGGGACACTGCTTACCCTGCTGAAAAAAAACAATAGACACCATCACAGAATTATAATGGTTTTACTGGTTTAATGGGACTTGTGTCAGTTTTAACGGAAACTGTTCTGGACCCTGTGGGTTTCTGGTAATTGGTCGCCTTCTATTGGTGACTTGTTAAAACCACTAAATCCTATTGGAATATGTCCCAAAACACACTACAGGAAACCATTTGTTAATGGTTAAAAGTTGATGGTTTGTAATGTTTGTAATGGTATTTGTAGTGGAAACCATTAGAATTTCTGTGATGGTTCCTATTGTTTTTTTTTTCAGCAGGAAAGTAATTATGTAAAATGTATAGAATACTGTGACATGACACCAAGGTACGTTAACAGATCATCACTGAATGAAAAGCAATAAATGATCAACTCATTTTAGTAGGTGTGCATTGCCTCTTGTTTGG